GCTCTACACACTCTCTCTATATATATGTCTATGTATATTGGCACGTTATTCTCGAGGTAGATATCTTCGGGTTATCACCTCCGATCGTCCTCACCGTCGAAATACTCCCTGGCTTGACTGTCGGTGGCCGGTACCTAGGCTACACGCACACATCGACACAACCTTAAGCGTACCTTCACTCAATTCAATTTTCCCTATCCCTACATAAATCCTACACCCATTTATCCTGACTCACTTGGATCGTCCCCAAACCCTTACCTCGAAATAATACCTAGTGCACCGTCCTCCGTGAAGTGACCTTCTCTCTGTCCTCGCCGTCACCTGGTGCTACCTGGAGTTCGTCTCGATCGTCGCGTCGACTCGGCGGCACGGTTAACTCTCGGGCAGTATTGTTCAGTGTTCTCCTATGCTCTCTTTTTGGATCCCTTTCCTCACTCTCTGCTCTACCTGTCACTTTTTCCTACATCCAATGACTCTCTCTCTCCTATCTGCTGTCTATGCAGCTCCGCGCGATATTGACTGCATTATGGTAGTCCACTTCGATAGATGCGCGCGCCCCTCCCCTGTATCCGAAAAATCTCCAACACGCCTAAAAACCGGTAAATTATTGGAGGTTTCAAAAACTAGGGAATCGACGCGACCACTCGGCGCTCACTCCTCTCCGACGCTTTGCGAGCCCTTCCATCTCTCCTTCTCTATCTTATACACCTGCTCACCCAATCATACATCACGCACATTCAATCTCTTTCATGGTCTTCGGTCCTTCTCCCTCCTCTGGCTCGTAGTCCGTGGCACCGAGAACACTCATTAAGTAAGATGTTATAGATATAGATATACATTTTTTTTTTTTTATATTATAGTGCTCTACGTCCGGCTCCTTTAATAAGGGCACTACTATGGGCACTTAGCACTTTGGAGAAGGAAGGGAAGAGGGATAAAGGAAGCCACCCATTACTGGGAGGTGGGTAGAGGGAATTAGGCAATTATGCTGCGAGAAGGTCGCCTAAACCCTCCTCGAGGAGCATTGCGTGGTGAAAAAGCACATGTAAAAAATCACAGAGGTACTTGCCCGAAAAGTCGTACTAGACGGGAATCGAACCACGGTCTCCCGCGTGCCAATCCACGACCTAGCTGACTGAGCCACCGCGCGCTCAGTATATACAGCTATATAGCCGACCTTTCCACTCCTCTCCTCGTAGGCGCACATTCGGTATACCCCTTCCATGCGTCTCCAAAATGTACGCCTACATGGACATTTCAACGCGAATCCACTCTTCTCATACCCCTACCGTGCTTCTCAAATAAAAAAAATGTGCACCTGGTTCAGCCACTTGGCCACGGTGGGGCGCTCGAACCACTGGAAAAAAGTGGGCACATTCCGTAGCATGGCAGTCAGCAATCCCCCTACTAATCTCTGGAGGAGATGGAAGAGAAAACTACAATGGGCTTTATGGGAAACAGTGAAAATTAAATAATGGCCACTGTAAAGCTACGTCATTTTGGGCCAGCCGTTTGTTTGTAAAGATAGGAGTTACTATAAATCACAGATATATCAAGTGCCTTAGTTTTAATTGAGTTACAAACATACATTTACGATATTTTAATATTGTTCTATTATATTCATTAAAGTGACTGTTGTACTACCTAATATTTAATCACAAAATCAGAGTATTAGATAAGCATGAAAGTTTTCATTTAACTTTCGGCTTAAAGAAGTTAAATACGTTTCATTGACAGAGACTTTTATTTATTTTTTCTTATTTATTCTTTTTGCTATGATAAGTAAATGTACGTTATGTAAAAATTAAAAATAAGGAACTTAGCAAGACTTGTTATGGAAGCTATATCGTGATCTAAAAACTACAAATTTTTGTCATCATTGAATACTTCGCAAACAAAAACATTTTTTATACTTAAACCACTGTGGATAAAAATAATTCTTTAATTTTTTTTGTCTCTATACTAAGTAAAGTCAGTCGTCAGTTTATCTACTAAAACAATAAACTTTTAATTCGATAGTTAAGTTGATAAGATGAGTGCAATTGCACTATAGCCGTGTGACATCCCATATCATGTACTTAATATTTATTACTTCAAAAGACAAAGTTTCGATGTAAGACTTAGTTTGGAGATTAAGCTACGTGTTAAAAGCCTGCATTTCAAGAAAATGTAACAGTAAATGTAAAAAGTAAATGTAAAAAGACTTAGTTCAGTGACTAAGCTGTGTGAGAAAAGCTCGAGCAAACCAGGCCACTGTACGCTCGCCTTAAAAGTTAATCAAAGAGGAACCAGAAAGAAAGTACCGTCGTAACCTTGTAAGATCTAGTAACTGCGTGCGCGCAAGTAGCGGCTTACCAAAGATCATAGAAGTAATTTGTAAAAACCATAAATTGTATAAACATCGTAAATGCAAATCTGAAACTTTATTATTTATGCTATTTGTAAAATTAACTATTTCTGGCTTTTCTAAAACTATTAAATTATCAGATAAGACATAACTTGGTTGTTGATTAAATTAGTTTTTTAATTCAAGGACATTTCAATTACTTAATTATATAAAACATCTTAATATCTAATAATTCTAATTGATTGACACATAATTCTTACTTTAATGAATAAATTAAATATCGAGAAAAAATAAAATAGACAGTGTATGACAAAGACCTTTACAAGGACGTGAGATAAAAAGACGAATAAGATATGCTACTACCGTATGATATAAGACATAAACTCTAATAATAAGTCAACGCCAGCTCAGCGTACACCACTCCATACATATCGCTCGGTGAAACCTAACGCCACAACGCCGAGTCAACGATGTCAAGTAAAAAAGTATACTGTCAGTAAAAGCAAATAAGGCCTTTGAACCGATGGATGGTACTTGATGAACAAAAATTAAATGTATTAGTTTGTTGAACGAATCTACGAGTTACGCCCTTTAATTATAGAAGTTCGGAAATAACAGCCGTAAATTTTTAAATTTCATGTTGACTTTGAAAAAGTAAAATTTTTTTTTTTTTGGTCAACAACAGAAAAACAAAAAAATATATTTAAAATAAATGTTATCGCATGAAATTGTAAGTTTAAGTGAGTGTGAGTGTTATTTGTAGCTTTAGTAATGGAATTTTTTTGTCATATTAATCTGAGGCATTTTTGTTATCAATCTTATTTTCACAATTTAAATAACTAAATGCAACTTAAGTAACAACACTGCTTCTTTGGTGATTCTGGTACAAACCATCAAATGTGATAAAATTTTAAAATGTAATAAAAGGGTCTGTGCAATTACAATAATCATTAAGCCTTGATAAAATTAATGTTTAAAAAACTTTTGGTCATAAATTGAGTATTCGGTAAACAATTTTTACCAGGAACAAGAAATACCTTTCATGTCTTCAAGTTTTCCAAGAGGTCTATCAGGTGGCTGCTCAGGAGGATCATTAGAAATTGTTGAGCTTGGTGATCCTATACTTAGAATAGTGCTATCATTGGTCGTGCTGTTGCATGAAAGTGGAATCTGGCTGTGGGCTGGTGAAACTAGTTGGGGAAACTGTAATAGAGAAAAATATAATTATGCTTTTCTTATCGAATTAAGCCTTGTTTCTATTTTTAAGTAGTTCACGGTCATTTTTTGGTTCTATGTGGGATTTATTTTGCAATTTAAATACATTTAATTATGTCAATAAAAATAATAAACTTTGCTTATCATGGTTAATTATAGTTGCAACTATAATTATAATGATAAATAAATTATAAATCATAATGATTATTACAATTTTTTTTTTTTGCAATATATGTGTACATTTGCAAGCATGTGTACGCTTAATCAAAAGTTTTCTTTGGTAGGAATTTTTTTAAAAGTACTGTGTTACATCCTGAGTTGATACAGACAAATTATACTATGTGTAAAAACGCAATTTATTTGTCAAATTTATATTAGATGTAGTGTAAATATACACAAGCTTATATGACTAGTAAATCTTATACGGCACTGATATGTGCGCGTGTATTTGTTTTAAGGTGCAACTTTCGTAATGTGATGACATAAATATAATATGCACACAGCCTCGTTTCAAAAATGCATGCATGTCATAAAATTGTACGCCATATTTATGTATGTATAAATCGTATTACGTGCTCAAATGAATAGTTCACTTACGCACTGATTATTAGTGATAGGCGTAAGCTAGTTATCAGTAACGTTATTAATACCAACCCTTGTTAGAGTTATCAAAATAAAATGTATTAAAAAAAATACTTTTTTTTTAATTGTCTTAATAACAGAGCACAGTATCTAAAATTATCCATATCATTTAAATAAAGATTTTTATCCAACTAAAAGGAACAAGTAAAACTCACGAGCTATATTCTGAGAAACCCATAAACGACACTAAAATAAACGGTTAAGACCATACTCTAAACAAATCTGGTCACGACAACTGCATACGAATATTAAAAATCATCGTGGAATTAATATTTTACAGCAAACTTAATTTATTAGAAATTTCGTTAAAATTTATACACCCTCATGACTTGAGAGAAATCTAAAAAATACACAATTAGATTTTGTAATAGAATAATGTTAATAAACAAATTTCATTTATCATACATATTTCAAAATCAAAATTTTTTTTTTTTAAATCAAAGGAATAAAAGTGTCTACACCAGTATCCGTAGTGGACCAAGGAGAGGATCTAAAGACTCTCAGTCAATAAGCTAAGTGACTGTCAAAGTTTGTTCTCATTAAAAGTCTTTAAATATGGTAGTTATTGTTATAGTAAAAATTTTTAACAAATAATGTTGTTGCACGGAATTCCCTACACAAGTTATTAACAACACATAACTTGTATAAGTAAGTAGTAATTTAAGATGTTATTACTTCTGTAATGCCGTAGGTAACTTGATTTGGAATTACATATGATATTACACATGGGAATTTGAAATGATAATGCCACCATTTATTACGTACTTAATGTAAAGGGAAATAACATAGAAACGAATGGTACTTACATATTTTCTTTATAAAAAAAATTAAAAATTTTTATTTCACATTGGGTACACACTACAGTTTCTTAAAAGTATTACCATCTCCAAAGTAACAACAAAACCAGAAGATTAAAAAAGATTTTAAGTAATCTAATATGAACTGAAAATTTTTTTTTTTTAAGTAACCAAAAAAATATATTTAAATCCCACTGTTTCAGTATTGTTATACGGATGGTGACCTTTGTTTTAGCCATTACTGTGAAGAAAAGTAATTTTTAACTTTTTTTTCATCAAGAGAATTTATTTTAATCATTACTTGTGATTCAACTTGGATTTACATACGTTGTAGCTAATAGTATTGTGTATGGCTATACATGCCATTCCAAAACACCATGTGTAATACCGTATTATATTTTAAGTAGAATAACGTGTAGCATTGAAAACTTATTTGCATGAGATATAATATACGTTGTAACATATTAGTTATTAATAGGAATACTATTTATTAACGTATGTTTAACATGAAAAAATAATTAAATTTTTAGCAATACTGTTGCGATACTACAGCAAAAAAAATGTTTAAAAATTTTTTATGTAAAGTCAAAAGTAAGTCTTAAATACTGTTATTGTTATTTCCTGGCAAATTGATGAACTCTTATTACTCTGCAAAACTACAATGTTATCAAGGACTGAAAAAATCGTGTAGTTATCTTAACATGACTGCAATATGATTAGTATTATGACCTTAGATATAGCAACATAGAATTGTACTAAAATCTACAACTTACTCTTCTATATTATCATTGTACAATATCGTAGTGATGCTTTTACAATTTTCACTGATAGTATACTACAAGAGAGTTTTGTATTATAAGTAAAGTAATAACCTTAATTTGATGAATATACCTCTTTTCTAAAAATACTTTTTCCTCTGTACGAACGCCCCTCTTTTTTGTTCTAGACTATCCTGCTTAATTATTTCTTTGCTTCTCTCTCTTACTTTTTCTCGTTCTAATTCTCTTTTCTGTTCTATCTGCTCTCTTTCTTTCTCTTTTTGCAATGCACTCTCAATAATAGTATTCTATTCTACTCTACTCTGCTTTCTCTCTGTCACTCTTTCTTACTCTTTGTACGTTACTTCACCCTACTTTAATCTCTCTTCCTCTTCCTATCTCTCTCTTTCTCTTACTCTCTCTCTCTCTCTTTCTTACTCTTTCTCTCTCTCTCTCTTCCTCTTCCCCTCTCTTTCTTTTTCTTCCTCTCTCTCTTTTTCCCATCCTCTCTCTCTCTCTCTCTTTCCGTCCTCTCTCTCTCTCTGTCCCAATTACACCTCACTCTGTCCTCTATAATTCTCTCTCTTCTTCTTTTTCTCTTTTTTCAAACTTTCCTTAATGATCTTACCATGTCCTTGTTCCAATTTCTTAAACACGCGAAAAATCTTGGTACTCCTGAGCATACATACTCACAACCCACGTGATTAGCTTTCTTACTCGTTTACTCCTCCTCACTTCTTAACTCATACCCCTTAAGCTATTGTCTGCTACCACCGTATAGTTGGTTGTTTGTGGAATTCGCTGAAGATAGAGTCTTGTGATGAAGTCACTTCTTTTTCTCAGAGTCTAGAGTGCCAGAGTTTGAGTCAGTTATGATGTGTAAAAACGTTCTTTTTTTACTGCCATTGTGTTCGTTGGTCTAATTTTTTTTAATAGCATCAGGTAACTTTAGGAATATTAAGCATATTCAAAGTGGCATGTCAAATTATAGATGTAAAATTGTTAATTTGTATACATGTTATATTAAAAGTAAAGAGTGATACAAATAAAGCTTGAACTTGCTGATATTTAATTTGAAATGTTGACATTGTATCGTACTTGGTTTCTAAGAAATGCGCCGATGCATAAATGGTGTAAATGAACTAGGGTTGATTGAAAATCAGAAGTCGTCTAGATTGTATGAACTAGCTTAGATTAAATTAGATTAGATTGAATTAATTGGACCATGGAGTAAAAACCCTAACTGAGCAGTATCAAAAATTACATTTGCCAAGTATTACATCAACAGTGATAATTAAAAAATATTTATTAACACATGTAAATTTGATTAAAGGTTTAGATAAAGAAGTATAATAATATAATATAATGCTCTCTTTTATACATAATAATTGAGTAGAAGCATACCGCAGGTGAGCTGCTCAAAATTTATGTAATAATCAACTTACAAAAGAGCAATTAAATTCATAGACGTACTAATAAAACAAATAGTTGCCTAGCAATAAGGCTATACAAAATTTATTATGACATACATTATCCCCCCTTTTTTAAATAGATTCTGAGACTAAGATCAGCCAAGCAGTAGTTATTTTTAATAAGTATTAACAGCAACTGTGTAAGTAATATTTATTTGTATAACAAAATAAAGTATAATATGTACGTGATAGTGTGATCTGTCTACGATATATTGAGTATTGTCAAGAACTTGATTAATACTATCAGCAATAAACGAGTTAATACGTTCAGGTTGATTGATTACTGATAAGAATAAAATCAGCTTTCTTGATGGTGGAGTATTACTAGTAGAATAACGTAATATTACCTCTGTCCAGTCTTGCCCAGCCACAAATGAGAAATCAGATTTGTAGCTAGCTATTTTAGGTGTGTTTAGATGGTTTAAGAGAGTTTCTGAGGCACCAAAGACTGTGTTCTGACTACATAAGAGTTTTTTTTCAAACAGCGAAAAGTTTATCTTTCGTTTGAAGATGTTATTATTAACTGTTTTTAAGTTAAAATAACAGACTGTTGATACTAGACGGGGTCGTAGATCTCATTGCGTATTTATTGAAGCTATGTAGACAGGAAGTTTAGCCAAATTATCTTTAGTTGATTGAATGAATGTGAGCCGATTTTTTAGTCTGATGCATTAAGAGTCACTGACTATTGTATAAGCATAGCTGAGGTTTAGGCAACTTGTTGCCTTGGGCAACAGTTGATGCAAAGGCTTTGACCATAAGGTACGCAAACTCAGTTTACTCACACCACCTCATCTAAAGACAGTAGTGTTATTTGCTTCAGCAAAATAATAAGCCTGATACAATAAACGATATCTAACAACCGAGGAAGATAACTTCAGAAAAATAGCCCTTGAGGAAGGTGTGATTACTTGAGAAGAGGATGCACTGGTTTGCCTATAAGCCCAATCACTAGTAAAAGTGACATGTTGCAAACCAAGAGGTGTTAATAGAAATTTAACAAGATCTTGGTGTGATAACTTTAGAATCTGTGAAATGCCTGAAAGTAAAACCTCACAATGATCAGTGGATGCCATATACTGATTTTGTGATGTGGCAGTGGCAGCAGTATCAGCAGAAGCCTTTTCTATAACTCCCAAACGATGAGTGACTTCAGTAGACCCACCTCAGATACTGTGATACGTTTATACAACGATTTTTGCATCTCCTTAATTTCTTACATATCAGCAGCATACATCACCTTCTATTGCTGGAAGTATGATGGTGTGTCAGCCATTTTTTTCAGAAGACTCCAAGTTAGGATAGACGTCCAAGACAAAAATAGAAGATGTTTTAACACGTGCTGCGTTGGTCATCTGTTCTAAGGATGGTGATGGCGGTGATCCAAGTCGCTTTTG